TCATGTTCTTTACTAATTTCTGTAATTGCTCCTTATAACAGATTAAAATCGATGTGATGTTAATGACCGCGAAGGTAAATTTTGCTCTCACAAATTGTGAATTCATGAAAAAAAGCTGGATTTTAAAATCATGCTCCCCGCTCTGGTTTACCTTTTGGAGGATTTTGAGCTCTGAGGATGTCTTTGGGAAATATTCAAAATTGCAGCATAATTGTTTCATGAATTAATAACATAGTAGATAAAGTCCATCTTCCATCGTGGACCTGTTTATTTCAGTGAAAATCCAAATAGTCTCACTCTGTGAAGAAGAGCTCTCACTACGTTCCAAAGCAATGCTTTTTTAAACCAAGCTTGTTTATGTATATAAATAATTGTATATACACATCTGTGTGTATGCAAATATATGTCTGCACATAAACGTACACATGCACAAACTGAAACTGAACTGTGACTGTTCCGTGTCTCAAAACGTCATCTGAGATGGGGGAGAGAAGGGAATTACTAAAACCAGACAGGGAATAACTTCTGACTTTAGGTCAGAAATGGCTAAAAAGCCTGCTAGTCTTTTCTTGAAAACAGCACCGTCCCTTCTTTATGGTATTTTAACAATGCTGCTGTACATAGCACTTTTTGGATGAATTTTACTATTTCTGTATTGCACTGCCATGCAAAATTTTCAATTATATGATTTTAAAAAAAAAAAAAAAGAGAGAGATATTTAATTTTTTTAGATGGACATATTTAGAATTAAGTACCAACCCAAAGAGGATAATAATTTTTCCTCCCCATTTTTTTTACGTTTTATTTTTAGGGATCTCATTTGTCCCCATCCCTGTCCCCCCATTGTTCTGTCATTTATTATAGATGTACATTTTATCAGTGATGGAGAAGAATGTTTACTGAGATGCATTTTAAAGAGAAACAGAGGTTTAATTTTATTTCAGGCTGCATAGTCCCTATTACTGAGAGAATATTTTGCTTTTGTTTGTAATGATTCTTCTGTGTATATTGCAAACTCTAAAACATTGTTTATAAAACAACCTTACACTACTAAAATAAACATATTTAACCTTCCAGCTGTTGATTTCTTAACTGTAACGTAGCATTTTCTCTGCTCTGTAGAAGTTTGTGACATACAAACATGGTTAATTCAGTCTGCCTTGTTTTAAAAATTCCTCAGTGGATAACATTGAATTTTACTGTTTTTCAGGACCTAATCTGTTCTGTTGCAGCTCTCTAGGTAAGACAGACAGCTGTTTCCTCTCTGAGCCTGTTTAAAGTCTGGCTGAAAACAGTGCAGCAACAAGTGACTCCTTGGCTCTCTCATCCAAACAGTATTCTATCCCGTTTGCCCTGTGACAGTGCCAAAAGTCCTCGGAGCGTTCCCTTATTTCTGGCTTGTGGAGCTTCTTCTTCGCTTCTAATTTTAGTATCGCTTGGCCACGTGCATTAGACTGCGATATCCAAAGGTGAGAGTCGCTGTAGCTAATGGGATCGTCATGACATGGAGATAGAGGGGCTGGGAGGGGCTAAATTCTCTGATTAAATCTCTTCAAGTGGTCTTTGCTATGTTTTTGCCTAAAAATATCCTCTCGGTTTTCCATCCTGGCTCAGACCTTCCTTGCTCGTCTTCATAATTCGGATGAGAGGCCCTTGAGGTTCGTGCAACAAAGGTTTGGAACACGCGCTGAAGTAACCCGACAATATCATGGAACGGAAAAAAGGTGAATCAGCAGCAGAATGTGTGACCTGCCAAGATTAGTTGCACATTATGTCTTAACACAAAGCAAATTTCATTAACATTCCCGAGACAAAAAGTCACTCTGTCACACTTTAGTTTTGGGCTGAAAAGCTGCAGGGAGTTGCTGCTTTTTTATCTTTAGAAGCAAGAAAGTACATGCAATGTGACAGCTTTGGAAAGTTTATGTTCAAAAGACCTATTTGTGTCTTTTCAAAGACCAAGTTTCACAGTCAGATTGTTTTTATCTTTAATTGATTAAGCAATACTTGTTAAGATAACGTACCTCGCAGAAGGCGGAATCATGTAGCGCTTTGAAACATTTTGCTCAATTTTTTTTTAAAATGGTGCCCAGATTTAACTGACTAGGGTACGTGTGAATTTTGCCCTCCCGCTTCCAAGTTAGTAGTGACTAATATCTTTACAGCTCGTTTGTTACACCGCAGAAGATCGTTAATGGTGGGTGCACTTATCCGTAGGGATGGACAATGGGTGCCAGGGGGTGACGATCCCTTTGCACCGATCCCTGCTTGCCCCAGAGTACCCGAAAACTTCCCCCAGCATTGCACACCGGGAGTACAACAGCGCAGGAATCCATGGGAGCCACCCAGATCTAGGCCAGAGGCACTTGCTAACGGCACAACGGTGTTGGATGGCACCAGGGGACAAAAACAGGAGTGAAGGAGCTCAGAAAGGCAGCTGCAATCCCTCTCTGTCAGTGCCTGCCCAGACAGCTGCGGAGACAGGTCTGAGAGTCTGAGGAACTGCTACGTGAGGGCAGGATGGGAAGGGCAGCGTGGGCAGGGAGCTCTGACAGGCGAGAGAGCGCTTCCTTGGCTGTACCTCCTGCGTCCATCAAATCCGCAGCGCTGCCAGGAGGAAGCCCGTTTTGCATCTCCCCCCGCTGTACGGAGACACCGTGAGTGTGTTCTGGTGGCCTGGGAGGGCGCAGACTCTTGCGGTACATGTTTTCCAGTTCATTAAACCCTAAGGTTGAAAGTGCAAAGCTTCCAAATTACAAGCCATATATCATACGTAGCTGGGCTCAGTATTTGTTATCCTTGTTCTGTCCAGCTTAGTGTTTATTAAGGACACTCATGATGAACATTTGATTGTGTCTTTAAAAACCCATTTTGTCTGTGCCGAGATGCTTCCAGCCGCTTGTAGTTGAGCTTATCAGCCCTCGTTAGCTGCCAGCTATGAAAAATCCCGCACCATAATGTGCATCTTTTTGAAGCCTGGAAAATATTCATGAGAAGCAGCTGGAAACCTCAGCTTATCTGATTTGTGCTACCCTGCTGCCAAGTGCAGCACTTTGCCAGAAGCTCTGGGGCACAGCTACCGGGTGAGAATGGGAAGAACAAATCCCGTTCAAACTAGCGAAGGCAGCACCAGAGCTGAACCTGTGAACAGGTCAAAGCCCCTGAGAGAAATCCGAGGGGAACAGATCTTTCTTGATCCTTTTCTTGTGTAACGTAGCTTCACATCTTGCCATAATTTATATTGCAAGAATCATCTATGCCTTCTGGGGTCTGAAGAGCGTTAGAAGTGATATCTGAGGACTCCCATTAATTGCAGCGAGCTCTGGCTCAGGCCCTTGAACTCTTCACCAGATGCAGTCTTCTAAGCATGTTTTATTGAAAGGTGAGCAGGTTTTTGGCTCTGCAGAAGGCAAGCTGTGTTGATGTTTAATAATTAATTTAGTCAGTGACATGCACAGAACAAGTTTAGGGAAGAAGGCCAGGATGTGCAGGCTGCTGGAGCTTTTTCCATTCTGAACGGTGCTTCAAGTCAAGCAGGGAGTACGTTTTTGTTTCTTACTTAAGCGTGGGTAAGTTCCAGCTCCCTTGCAGGAGGTAACAGTTTACTGAATTGCTGAATTCCTGTGCAGGCGCTGCTTTGTTCCTGCCTGCCTTGATGCGTGTATTTGGAAATGACCTGGCCCACGGAGTGAGCCGCTTGGCAGCCTTTCCTTCAGCTCCCTTTGGGGTGAAACTAGTAAATGGGAGGATGAAGGGGCAGGAGTTTCACTTCTCTGCCTGTGTATTAAACCGAACTGTACAGTCCAGAGAGAAATCTAACGTTTTACCCTGAAGCCCTGACCCTCCTTCAGCTGTCTAGGCACTGCGAGGAAATACTGGATATACGCAAGGGTTTGGGGGGAGTTTTGGAGCTGTTCGTGAGTCCTCCAGCTGATCTCCTGAGACCGTCTTGGAGTGGAGAAAGTCCTGAGCAGCTTGTACTGCCAGCAGGGGGACAGATGGCAGACCCTGTTCTAAAGATAGACAACTTCTCCAGGACTGCAACTTCTCCAGGACTATGCAAGCAGCCCAGTGAGACATTCACTGTAGTACTCGGCTGCCAGGCTAAACTGCTGCCAAAATGTCCCTCTGCTGGATAGTATCTTTTCCTGTCCTCCCCACACCCACAGTGTCCCTGGAGCTGCAGGACCTGCAGGCCGGGCTGGGGGAGCCCCCCGGCCTGGCTCCTCCCTCTCTGTTACCCTTATAACAGCATGGAAGCGCAGCGAGTGCCCAGTGTCTTGGCAGTCCCGTGTGCTTGCTCGTCCAGCGGCTGCTGCGGGTCCCCAGTCGGACGACGGGAGCTGGGAGCGGCTGCAGGAGTTGCTGTAAGTGTGGCGCTGCCTTCCATCACTGCTCCGAGTGTTCGAGCTGACAGGGATCAGAGCCCGCCTGCACCTTCCTTCCTGCTCCTGGTCAAGCTGTTTCGCTCTGGTTTGAGTTAGTAGCGACGCCTTCCTTCAGCGCTGCCTGCGGGAGAGCCGCTGGGGAGTGATGCTGTCTGTTCTGTTTCATTTCGAAAGTCTGAAAACGTCCTGAGGAGTGAGAGCTGATTCTAGCAAAGTAACTTTTTTAATCCTTGCTTTGTGTAGCTGTAAAGCCAGCGTGAGAAAGCTTTGTAGTGCCTCCTCAGGTGAGTGGGTATTGAGCAGTGTCTGAGACCTCTACTCGCTGGGAGGCACTAACCCCACTGCCTTCCCGTTATTCGCTCACTGACTGGTTCCATTTGTCCTTAAATGACTCTAGTACTAAATTAGAGCCAGAGAAGTGTGTTAGCCTTTGCAGAAAGTCTTTTTTTTGGTCATGTTTACACTCTATTTGTTCTTTTAGCCACAGCAGCCAGCACGTTAACATCTCTTTCTTTTGAATGTGATGCAAGCAGTAGTTACCTGCTCTGATGGCTTTTCCTGAAGGAGGCCACTTGAAATAAAGATCATTTTGTAGATATTTTGTAGATACTTCTGCTCCAATGGACAAAGGTCTTCACTTCATGTTCTTTGTGATTACAACCATGCTGCTCCTGAGAGAATCAAGCCAGACAGGTGAGAAAAATGATGCAGAAATACCAGCTGTATCCAAATCTGATTTTGGTCTTCTTTACAGTGTTAATTCTTTCAGTCTTTAACTGCTAGTGCTCACAGGGTTTTGTCTTAATCTAAGAATTTGCTTTTGAATAGGTTATTAAGATATGATCAGGGCCTACCTCATTCTTACAACTTGTGGTTGTGCCCTTGTCATGTTCAGAGTGGGGGTTCAGTGCCTGTGCTGCTGCAGTGGCAAATCAGACGACAGAGATCAGAGAATCTGGTTCCCTGGGAGGGGAACATCACTGGCTCTGTCCGTCTCACCCCCGCCTCGCGTCCACCCAGAGCCGTGCTAGCAGCAGTTTCACCTCCCTTTACAGATACTCAAGACATTTGCTTCTGTGGTGATGGTCAAATTCTCTCATACTGAGAATTTTCTCATCCTGAACTGCCACCCGCCCGACCTGGTGCCTCTTCTTTCAGCTCAGTTGCTGCTCCCAGTCACGAGCTGCAAAAGGGGAGATGCTGCCGAAGGGTGGCTGGAGGGGGAGGATGGACGGGGTGGAAAATTGTCATGAGGTGGCTGGTTCTTCACAGTGCTACAGGCTTTTCCACCAGAAGTAAGCAGGGAGCCATCTCCTGTTAGAGGGCGTGGAAGGGGTAAGGACGAGGCTGCTTTTTGCAACCACAGTCGTTTCCTGCAGCCGCCGGCCCGTGGGCACCAAGAGCGGAGGGATGAGCCGCTCTTCTCTGCCTTGCGGTTTTGTAGACTCTCACACAGGGCTCTCCCGATGAGGACTTGGCTTCTGTGAAGTGTCACTGCAATGAATTTGGAGTCAGTGCTGCAGCTCGGTCCCTTATGGTCCAGGAGTTCCCACAATGGGGCTTTGAACAGCTGCACCCAGCGCCGCCGTGGGGGAGCTGCAGCCCTCGGTACAGACTGTCTGCTTCCAAGAAACCCTAGCAGGCCTTCAAAAAGGAGCCTCAAAAAGCTTTTACTGGCTTTAATGGTTTTCTAAAGGGAGACAAGAGAACTCCTTTGTGAGGATTTCCAGCTCCCATGGAGAACTGTAGTGGAGAGGGAAAAAACAAGTTTTGTTTTACGATAATGTAGAGTTCAGCACAAGGCCAGAAAATGCAAAACCAAAGAATGAATAATACATAATGAATGAATATGTTGTTATAGTTAACGAAAAGCTCACAGCTTTTGCTTGAAAGAGTGAAAACACCCTAATTTTTTTGTTTTATTTGAGGGATTTTTTGGCTTTTCCACTGTGAATTCTTTGAATCCAAGGAGCAACACTGTGCACGTTCTAGAAGAAACATCCCGGGCAATGAATGAGCCATGTATTGACACAATTGTGACTCTAATTCTGCATCTCTGTCATTTTAGTTTAGCTCTTTTGCAGCTGGGATGGGGTTGAGGTATTCTGAGTACTGTGGAAAAGGGAAGCTGAGATCAAGTCATGTAATAGGATCCAAGTCACACAGCAGAGCAGGGAGTCTGACAGCAGCGCGACTGCCCTCGGCAGCAGTGGTTTCGCCCAAGAGGGAAATATGATTCCCTTGCTTTTACAAATGGGAAACTGAGGCATAGGAAGGAGAAGTAATACAGAAAAGGTCAACAATGGATCTGACAATCTGACCTTTGATGCTCACTCCAGAGCTGTGCACAGGGTTGCACCAGCTTCGATCCCACTCGAACGCTTGGCCAGGTTTATGTGCTTCCCTTGCGCTCTGCTCCTTGGTGAGATAGAGAACAGGCAACACAGGACGGGATCACTCATCCCTGTTTCTTGGAACTTAATGGGGACGAATTCTTGGTTTTTTACAGGATGTTTCCTCAGGGGCGTAGACAATGTTCTGCAGGAGTTAGGGGAGAGCTTGGCCGTGTGAAGCAGCAGGAAAGCTGCTCTGCACCTTGTCGGGGAGGGCACTGAGGAAATGAAGCAATTGATTCTGCAGAATCCAGTCCCCGGTGTGCGAGTGACAGCCGTGACCATTAAGGCACAATTAGAACCTTCTGCAGCCTGAGTCTGGCTGTGTCTGCTGCTCGTTGCTTCACACCGGTCTGTGCTGCGAGTGAGGAAATGAATGTGACAAAACTGCTGCAAGTCCGCGGCACGGCGAGCCTGGCAGTCGCGGGCAGCTGTTGTGTTCATTTAAGCGCGACATGAAATGAGGGCGTGAAAATTCTGTTTTAAGAAACTGTAAATTTCAGCCCTGCAAGAAGTTGATTTTGTTGTATTTTTTCAGGAGCTGCAAGGAATGATGATGCTGTGAGGAAGGTACGTTTAAGTTCACTGGGGTGGAGCTACCAAGGAAGGCACATGTGCAAAAGGTCTTGCCTTTTAAATTCAGAAACCGATGTGTCATAGTGTGCAGCGCTGCCTCTTCCTCTCAGGTTTCCTCCTGTTCTGTGTCTCCTGAAATCACTCTCTAATGAGACCTTCATTGGCTCCTAACTGGTTTGTCTGCAACAGGAATTGATCTCTTTGGAAAACTGTATTGCACCGTGTATCTGAAGAATTGTGACAAGATTTGAAGTGATTTTTATTCGGACAGAGCATGCTGACAACACATAATGAAGTGAAATGCTTGTCATTTATTGATTACTGTTAGGGAGCAGTGGTGCTGAGATTGCTGCAGTTTACCGGGGCAGAGTTAGAGCTGGTTTAACACCTGCCCATGCCCCGGCCAACACCCACCCCAAGGTATGGGTGGGGCCAAGGCTGGGACTTTGCAATCCAATTATTTCTCCTTCATTTTTTGATTTGCAGGGCACTGACTCAAGGGGACCAGAAGAGGGTCGTCCAACTCTGACTGTCACAACAATCCTGGTAAGGCAGTGACACAGCACTTGGGGCTGGGAGATACCTGGGACTACACTTTGCCTCCCCCCCCCATACATCTGCAGGTAATTTTTAGGGCTGCCTTTGACACTGATGTCCCCGTTCATCACGGACTGTTTTTGGAGCGCTGGCTCTGTGGTGCAGACTCATGTGTAGTTTGCAATGGGAGGATTCAAGAGCTATCAGGAATTAAAAACAGGCTAAACCTCCCCCCAAAATACCTTACCCCCTGCACCAGACAAGTAGAACAGTTCAGAAGCTGCAGCTCTAAGTTTTCTCATTCTGCTTTCAGGGCCTGCACCAGCATGTGGCCGTCATCTCGTGCTTTAATGGGCCATATGAAATGTATTTGGGTTTTTAGACTGAGAAAAGATTATTGCTTGCTCCCGTGGTACCCGTGGCTTGCAGCATGCAGCTGTGCTGCTGGAGCTGTTGCCTGTGACTAGTGGTGGGACATGGCTCTGGTGACTATTTCTCAAGTTCAGCTGTGTTGTTGTCTTGATCATCTGGATAGAGGTCTTTGGGGGAGGGTTTGCAAAAAAAATTAATTGACAGTGAGTTGCACTGCAGGCTGCGGGAGCAGGTAATTGTGTATTTTTCCCTGGCTCTGCAGGAAGATCCTTACGTGATGGTGAGGAGTGCAGAGCTGGAGGGGTACTGCATCGACCTGCTGACGGCCCTGGCTGCAATGCTGCACTTCAGCTACAGGGTGAAGGTGGTGGGCGATGGGCAGTATGGAGCCCTCTCTCCCGGTGGGAACTGGACGGGGATGGTTGGCGAGATTTTGAGACAGGTAATCTTCAATTTGTATTTTTGACAAAACTGTGGCTCTAGAAGGAAAGAGCGGGGCCACCTGCTCTCGGACTTCGTTAGAGTTTGCTCAGGAACTGAGTGACTTGAAGTCATCCTCCCTGTTGTGTAGAACTAATGAACGGCAAGACTTGTAGTTGGTTTTGGCCTGTAAATATGCAAAGTAAGGAACAAGGAGACAACGGCCATAGCAGAAATCACTGGTACAACAAGGTCGGTTGGGTGGTTGATTTATTTTTTATCTCCATCTTACAGGAAGCAGATATTGCAGTAGCTCCCTTGACAGTCACGTCGGCAAGGGAAGAGGTGGTCTCCTTCACCACACCGTTCCTGCAGACTGGGATTGGGATCTTGCTTCGCAAAGACACCGTCTCTCAGGAGATGTCTTTCTTCCACTTCCTGGCTCCTTTCAGTAAGGAGACCTGGACTGGCCTTTTATTTGCTTATGTGCTGACGTGCATCTGCCTCTTTCTTGTTGCCAGGTATAATTTGTTCTGCAGATTTTGTTCAAGCGCTTTCTCAGCAATGAAGAGATCTCAGTTTTAGAGCAAGTACCAGGGTGCATTTTTGCTTTGAGGAACGTTCCATGCGGGTCTGGAACCGGGGCTGATAAAACTTAAGTGATGTCAGATGCATTAAGAGTAGGATCTCCCCCCAGAGCACCGTGTCTCTCCATGTGGATTACCGAGGGCTGCTAAAAGGACTGTGTGAACTTCAGCTCTTCTTTCCCACTTCTATCACTTTGAACTGTGCTCCCACATGCAGGTCTCTCTCCTGGTGTGTTCTTGTGCGCTGTGTCCCGCACTAACATGTGGAAGAGATTCTTCCAGGAGGTTCAGTTTTCCCCCTTTCTTTATTGGGCTGCTCTGACGCTCTTGAACACAAGTTCTGTTGCTGCTTTTTTGATTTTATGCACATTCTTTGTAGGGAAGGATGTGCTCCAAGCAGCAGCCTCGGTCTGGTATTACAGAACAGAGCCAACACTGCCACTCGGGAGTGCCGGGGAGACTAGATTGTGCAATGGCTTGGGAAAAAAAGAGTCTGGCAAAACCTGTGCGGGACCCCCCAAGCCGTTGCTGTTGCAAACTGCTAGAGGCATTGAGCAGTACTTTCCTCTGCACTGGTTAAACTGGAGCTTGGGTGAAGGAGGAGCTACCGTGGGAGGAGAAGGCATTTCCATCATCGGCACTGCAGTAGTCACACTGTGGGATCACTTATTTCTTTTTTCCCCCTGAATGTCTGGTTTTCTCCTGTCATTTTCCCACAGACTGAGCCCCTGTGAATGGAATGAGCCAAAAAATGAAGAGAACCACTTTACCTTCTTAAACAGCCTCTGGTTTGGGGCAGGAGCCCTCGCCCTGCAAGGTGAGCTGGGAGGGCTGCAGCAGAGGAGCTCCGGGAGCAGAGCGGGGCTTTAAGCCTGTTGTCTGTCCAGCTCTCAGCTGTCTGTAACACTGCAGTGCTGTCCTGCTGGGGAAAAGATGTTCCCATGGGCACACTGGGCAGCACTAAAGCTCTCCGCTTGGGGAGGTTTGATTACAGACATGTTGGAATCGTCCAGCGGGCTTGCTTCGGGTGAGGAGTGTGTATTTTCTGTTGTAGCGATTGCTGCAGGAAATGCCAAGTTAACCACAGCACTGGTGCTTTGTGGAGTGGGGTTTGTTGTTGTTGCTTTTAGCTGCTGACGTTGCTCCAGCTCGGCGTAGCTCAGAGCACAGAGGCAGTTCAAACCAGCCACAGGAAAGTCGTTTCAGGCTCACACACTAAGTAGCTGCAGGGCAAGTTTTGCAGTTTGGCCTTTATCTAAAGGGGATTCTGTGGCTCGGGCTCATGGATCTAAAGCTCTTTGTCTCTCTCTCACTGTACATCACCTCCCGCACACGCTCCTCTGGTCGTGCAGGTGTCACCCCTCGGCCCAAAGCGCTCTCCGTGCGGGTCGTCGCTGCTGTCTGGTGGCTGTTCACCATCGCCTTGCTGGCCGCCTACATCGCCAACTTCACCGCTCTGCTGAGCTCCGGCAGCGAGCAGCTCCCAATCCAGACTTTCGAGGATCTTGTGAAGCAAAGAAACCTTGAATTTGGGACACTGGACGGCTCCTCTACTTTCTACTTCTTCAAGGTGCAGAGAATCTCACTGCGCACACATTACACCCGAGATGTAGAACTGCCGATCTGGGGCCGGGTTTTCTGGCTCGTGCCTATAGGTCCTTACACCACCCTCACCGCTGTGGAATCCTTGAGTTCTCCTGTAGTACTCCAAGTAATGTGATTGGTTTCTGTTGTTTTGCCCATCTCTTCAGAGAGAAAGGTGTGCAGAGGACAGTATTTTTGTACTGTATTCTCTTCAGAAAGCAGTGCCAGGCTTTAGGGGTTATCCTTGTGTACCTTGAACACGAGGACTGACGGATGTAATTTCTGGATACGTTAACTGGGTGTCTACAAAGGTTGTTTGTAGGGGTGGGAAATATTTAATACTTTTATCTCTCCAACACTGTGCATTAGAGAGGAAATTTGTCCTGGCTATGTGCTAGTTTTCAGCAGAGAGGGCTCAAAGGGTTTGGGTACTGTTACTCTCCAAATTGTTTCGCATCCATTACACACGTATGCAGACTTTTTTGGGTGATCGTTTTACACTTCAGTTTGACACTTGGATTTTTGGGCTGCAGAACTCCAAGAATCCTATTCATCAGATGATCTATGAATACATGGACAAGAGACGGGACCACGTTTTAGTCAAAACCTACCAGGAAGCTGTTCAGCGTGTGATGGAATCAAACTATGCCTTCATTGGTGAATCCATCTCTCAAGACCTTGCAGCTGCCAGGCACTGCAACTTGATCAGAGCCCCAGAAGTTATCGGAGCCAGAGGCTTTGGCATCGCCACTCCGCAGGGTTAGTCACTGCTCTGCTTCTGTCTCCACTTGGATTTCACGGGGCTGAGGTACCAGACTGACAGAGCAAAAAGCCTGGCACAGCCGAGTCCTGAAACTTGCCCACACTTGGGCATTAACACTAATAATTCCGTATGAACCAACTGGTGATGCTGCTCTGTGATGCTGCTGTTGTTCTGTAGATGAATTATCAGGAGCACTCACTCGCTCTTAGTCTGAACTGTGTAATATGCAAAAAAATCCCAACGCTCGGGGGTATCGCTGGCTCCTGTGGGTTTTTTGGTTTTGCCTCGGTCCCAGCGATGCAGAGCTCCTCGTGTTGTCAGCAGCTGCAGAACCCAACTGCTTCTGCTTCTTGCTGTGCCTTTGCTGTGTCGTTATTCTGCGAGTGTTACCATCACACCTGTGTGGACAGGGCAGGAATGGCGGTTCGCTAAGGATTGCGCTCGGCTTGGTCTGTCACGTTGTTGTGTTGTTTCAGTGCCCATCTGAAAGTCGGGCAGCAGCCGCCCCCCTAACCCTGCCTGGAAGCGCAGCAGTTGATCGATGCTTGAAAATGTTGCAGTGGCCGTGATCTCTCCTGTGCTCTTCTCTCTTTTCTGTTCCACTGCTGCCAGCATCCCCGTGGACTAAGAAGCTCTCCATTGCTGTCCTCAAGCTGCGGGAATCGGGCGACCTGGACTACTTGCGCAACAAGTGGTGGGAGACCAGCTGCCTTCACAAGAGCAGGGACCGCTGGAGCCCTCTGCAGCCCCAGGCGCTGGGGGGGCTCTTCCTGACGCTCGCCATCGGCCTCGCGCTCGGAGTGATCGCAGCGGTGGTGGAGCTCTCCAACAAGTGCAGACACGCCGCGGGGCACGTGAAGGTGAGCCCTGGTTCTTCTCCTCATCCTGCTTCCTCGCATCCCGCTTGTTCTGCGTGGCCGAGCGAGCCGGCAGCGCTCCGCGGGGCACGGCGCTGGAGTTCTGTGCCGAGCGTGCGGTGAGGGAGACGACCTGCTGTGTCTGTACCCTTCAAAGCACAGAGATTTCACAGCCAGGTCCGTGCAACCATTTTGTAACACAAACAGGGTAACAGTAAGAAAATGACCCCCGCCCCCTCAAAATATTAAAATATTTACTGTAATTCCCGGGCAGCCAAACTGCACTCCAATACGCTTACTGTGTACAGAGGACAGTAAATCATCAATAACAAGTTTATTCTCAAGTATGGCTGTTCTTAAGTCATTTGACAAGCAGGAAAACACATGTAAACGAAACTGCTCTAGTATCTGAATGTGCATTTTAGTGTTCTCATTCCCCATCGGTTCCAAGCAATGAGTCGTGCACAGGTAAGAGGTGGATTCCAGGACACAAAACAACTCACCCCTTCTTTCCTCCCCATTTGTTTTTCAGAAATCTTGTTGCTCCGTTTTCACAGAAGAATTGTGCACTCGTCTACGTATAAAAGATAATTCAAGACAAAGCCAGGAGACTTCAGGGAGGGCTAATGTTTAGGAATTTTTTGCAGAAGGCATGGGCATGTATTAGCTTTATGCCATATATATTTCATAGGAACTACATCAACGTAGAAAGATGTTCTTCTGTGAGTCTAGAGTGTTAGTTTTCTAATTACAAACACAGCACTTCTGGATGGGTGGTGGAGCTGGATACAGAAGAAAATTGAATGGCTTGGAAGAATTTAAATTGATAAGTGATGAGTGCAACTGTTAAAAATAAGGGAGGTTAATGACTTGGTAAAAGAAGGTTGAGATGGTGGATCTCTAGTTGTTCAGAAGTTTACTATGTAAGTACGTGAACGCCTGTAGGAGTAAGTGCCTTGGGAGAGGTGAATACGAAGCCTCTGCTTACTAATTACAGTATGAGGTACGCTCTCGAAAAATTAAAGCTCTGATCTGACTGTTTTAAAGAACAACTGCTTCTTAAACATTTCAGTTAGGAATAGACTGTACTCTTCTGCTCTTCTAAGGAGAAGATGTGAAGGTCATTTCTGAGTCAGAAATGACAGGACTGTTACATAAACCCCAAAACACAGAACTTAACTGCAGTGGCCTAAAACCCAAGAAGGCAGACTCTGTTAAGGAGCTACTTAAGAAACACAGGACACAGGGACAGCTCCTGAGGATGTTTTGTCCCAGTTAACCTAACTGAGAAGTATTTAGGGAGACGATTGGTAGCTGAAATCCAACAGTACTAGAGCCTGATGTTTGGTAATCGGTCAACTGAAGCAAAGCGTAAGGGCGAGGCAGTGAGGAACAGGGATGCTGCGATCGTCTCTTGCTCTCAAAGAATCTTTGAAATTCATGGGGAACAGTTATCTCAGCTGCGCATTAAGTAGTGCTTTAACCAAGCTGGTTTTTAGAGCTGGAATGACTGATGCACGTGCTGATTTGCAAATTCATGGTGAAATTACTCCGTTATGTACTGCTCATCTGATGAAGGGAAAAAAGCAGCAAATTTGGTTGCTTGGAAGTGGCTTTGACTGCACTGCACGAAGAGAGACTATCAGTCCCAGCATTAAAAAACTGAAAGCAACAGAAACGAACATGCGGGCGACAGGCAAACAGCTGGGTGTTCCTGAAAACAAGCCCTGCACGGGCACTTTGAGCGCACCTTAGCGAGACTCGACTTCCAACTACTGGCAAGGAATTTCCTAGAGTTGCAGAATTCCCCTCCCACCCATCTGTTCACAGAGTCAGAGCAACAGGAGTCCCGAGTCCTTCCGGCCATGGGTGAACTCGTGACGTTGGGCTCGCTGAAGTTCTGTTTCAATACAACTTGGGCGATAAGCTCGTTAGGTTAGAAGGTGGAGGAGTCCTTCAGTCAAATTAACTGCAAAGAGCATGAAGTGGTTTAGGTGAGTTTAAAAGCCGACATGGGAAATGCAACGTCAGATTCACTGAGCACTTCAGAAACTATTTGGTATGTGCCATGTCACCGCTGGCAGAGTAGGCAGAGATGTATAAAAAAGGGTTTCGTTGACATTTAAATATATTTCTATATGAATGTCTCACAGAACAGAAAAATAAAGTCTTTCCATCACAAATACTGCAGCATTAAAATAAACACTTACCAAAATAAACAATGAGTGATATACATATATATATTTGAGTGGGTATACTATAGAGTGAATCATATTGTTGCTTTTTTTTAAGTCACAAAAGCACAATATAAATACGGAATTTCATGTGAACTCTTTTCCCTGTTGTAATAAAAATACATTCTTTACAGTTAAAGTAAAACTAGTGCAAGTCCGTTCCGCTGCTCCCGTCCACCCGCTTGACCAGATTCGTATCATTTACATGGCACTTCGTACTTAAAAATGACGCTGAAAATTTTCCCTCCGAGACGATCGGCAAGCCAGGAGTTCTTGATAACGGCGAGCTTGAGGCTCTCGCACTTCAAAGCTGCGTAGTAATTCGTGTGGATGGCACGGCCCATGCCCTCGATGATGACCAAGTCTGTCTTCCGCTCTCTGACCAGCACGGCCAAACCTTTATCCAGGCGGCTGAAACGAGAGCTCCGGGTTAGAAACGGTTGTCCTGACACGTGCTACGAGGGCAAGATGGGTGGTGCTAAAGGCTTGATCTTTTACATAAAATGGGGTGAGAAATGGAACGTCAGAAGGAATTACTGATGCCAGTAAAATCCAAGGAAATGAGATTGAAACGTAGTCTGAAACACATCATTACTCCTAGCAGGACTGGGATTTCCGAGAAATCACAGGCAAGTTTTCTCTCTGGTAGAGAAGCTAATCAAAAATCATTAGGTTAACAACATGAAATGCTTCTTACGGCCAAATGGATTTCTTCACTGTGTGCAGGATTTTACACCACCCATTGCTAAGCTGCTCATGAAACCCCCAGCGCGTCGCTGCTCAACGTGAGCGTGACAGATAGGATGCCCGACAACTAGTGAGGCTCGGCCAGCGTTACATGTCTGTAAATCCAGAGTAAGTAACTCTTAACCGTCATGCAAAAGTGATTCGGATCAGGAAGGGTGCTGAGATGCTCCAGAGCTGTCTCTGAACATCCAACAGCTGATGGAGACAAAACCCAAATTGGTGCTTTGCCAAGATACCTTAGATCTAGACATGGAGAACTTGAGCCTGTCTGGACCAACAGCAGCTTCTCTTCCCTCAGTGCAGACCTTTAGTTAAAAAAAAAAGACAAAAACATTAAAGAGCTACTTCAGCAGGGTTGTGCACATCTGGTAACGAGCCAGAGAACAACAAATATCTGTGACTTCTCTGCACAAGCTGCTGCTCCTGCTAGGCCTTCACCCAGAAACGTAACGTCTCCTTGAGCAAAAGGGTTATGTAGTCAGCTGTGCACCCTCCAGCAGGGACACGCTCTCTGTGAAATACATCTGTTGTCCTCTATTCTTTTTAACATACAAAATTTATGTTTTAGTAGCTTGACTGCTTACCAAGACAAGAAATATAATTATGGATGTTCAAGAAAGATCCAATTTCTAAATTTTTCACCTTAATAAAAGTAAATGATCTGCTTCAGCTTACTTGCAGGTCACAGATTTCAGACACTCATCAACAGAGTTAAAGAGGAACCAAGGATTTAACAAGGACCTTGTTTTTTCCTGCTACACATCATGCGATGCAGACGGGTTACAGGCTTACTGAATAACTGGATCCATCGCTGCTATCCGCTCCGTGACAATCAGGGATTCACTGTAGGTGACATCATTTAGGGCAGGGCCAGAGTTACAAGCCAATATAACCTGAGGCAAAGATGGGAGAAGAGTTCACTGATTAATGCCTCCACATGCGGTGTTAGAGCTGCTTGTTCAGCTAAAAATGCCCATTGCCTGACTTACTTTAAAACTGAGAAAATACAAAGAGAAAAGCTGGAGGCCCAGTCTTCATTTTCCCTCAGTTAATGAGCTCTTTGAGGTCTTCTGACATGACAGACCCTTGCTCAGCAGACTTGGGCCTGACAGAGCCTCGCCTGGTTTTGCTGCCTTTCAGAGTCACCTTAAAACTAGATTTTGGAGTTCCAGGGATTTGGATTCTTCCCAATTTAGATGTTTGGAGCCAATCTGGTAAAGGGCACTGCTGGCAGGCAGTTAACAAACCTGTCACCAATCACCAAAGCTCCACTACGCAGCAAACTCACACTGAGAACCACTTACCTCTGTCCCTCTAGAAAGGAGCTCTCTGACAAAAGGAAAGACTCCTAAAATTATGTCTATTCCACTGTTATCTGCGAAAATTAAGGCACATTTATGAGGGGGGCCCTCCTGTAAGAGAAAAACCAACATATTCAGGGTTGAGTTCACGATTCATTTCAGGGAATATTTAGAACAAACTCACTTTACCAACCCATATTTTACACCCTTACACAGCTGGTGATTTTGGTTATCTAGTAGCAGCAGAACTCATCAGAACATCTCCTACCCTCGACCTTAGGAGAAATCCATTTCCCTAACGTTGTCCTTGCAGAGTTATTTCAAACAGCTTTTAGTAACTTTGTTAAGAAAACTTCCATCTGCCAAGCCAAGCCGTGGTGACCCCAGCAGCTCGGGGCAGGTGTGTCCCGCAGAACCCGCGCAGCCAGAGGGGACCACGCTCGTGAGCGAAGCAGCAGCGTGGGCAGCTGCCATGGCGAGCACGGCGCTGATCAGGGTGGACCTACCTTGGTGGCTGTTTTGAGCTAACATGCTGTAGTTCCCTTTTGCCAGGAAAGGGCAGGAAGGACTGCTGGGGGCAGTGACATCCTAAAACTCCCCATTAACTTTTTTTTCGCTTGTTCTAAAGCGAAATTTTGTTCAGTTCACACCAGCAGAAGAATTTTTATAGTGACCAGTGCTTAATTCCTAATAAACAAAAATTGTCAGGGCAGTGCTTGCAGTTCTTTTATTACACAAGACTAGCTGACACTTCGTTTTGTAACGATTTGTAATAGCCTACTCACACCGAACCAATGCAGCTAGGAACAAAGAAACAAAAGCTTTTCAATTAACCTTAATTACATAGTAATGGAAATCACAGGGCAAAAAAAGCTTTGCTAATTGATTGGCTAATTACTTCCAGAGAACTCCTAAATTAGTGCCCTTCTTAGATTGGCTGCTGGGATGGAGGAACAATCCAAACATTACATTTGGATCCAAGTCTTCAAAATGATGGGTCTAGCTGTAGAGCAGTAAGTGTCCTTTTAAAGACAGGACATAAGAGGGTGACTTGGGAAGAGCTCTGGAAGCAGCTGGGTTTCAACTGCTGCCAGTTCTGAAGGAAATTCAGCTGAGAAGCTCGGTAAGTAATGAAATATCAGACTAATTATTCTCATTCCTTTCTTTATGATAAAGCTGTTGAATTACTGGCACCATGTTACCCAATTTTATTTTGAATTGTCTGAATGGAGTTCTGTTAAATCTGTTGAAAGCCCAAGGTTAATAAGGTGGTTTTACGATTCATTTAATCGCTCAATGGTTAGTTAGAGTCAGGGAGTCGTACCTTCAGCCGCTCAAGCCACTGACTGTAGGAATCTTCCAACCAGGGACGTTCTGCCACAGACAAAAGCACGTTAGCATTTCTTTCAGGCAAGCCCTAATTCTGTACTTTATAAAAAGCAGGAAGAGTCTTTTTACAGATGCTTAAGCACTGAAGCATTTGAGCTCGGGTTTTGCGTGTTAAACATGTAGACTGAAAGAGTCCCTAAGCTTCTCATTATGGGAATAGCTCAATTACAGCAATCTTGAAATGGAACTCTCCTAACAAAGCAATGAAGACACGCAAGCTGCCCATCCCAACGACTTCTCCTAGGATGCGCTGTACCTCCCAGGACACCGTCTGGCAGGGGCCGAACAGTTAGGAAAAACAGCACGGGCAAGAGAGTCTGACTATCTGGGCAGCTGAGACTGCTAGTTCAAGGAGAGAGGTTTTCAGATTTCACTTCCTTTGAAACACAAATGGGAACAGCCTGCCCAAACTCTGCAGCCTGTATTTCAGATCACTCTGGCAAGTGCTCGGGATTTCTTGTCACCTGGGCAGCACAACTGCTCCAATAAACCCATTGGCAACTCTCCTCCGCTCTCATATTTCCAAAACATCCAGTTCCAACCACCACCATAGATCTCCCTGTACCTTGTAGTTTTGACTTGGCTTCTTCAAATCCAAACTGTGGCTCAGATTCCAGAACGCTGTATCAGAGGAGACATAAAGGGTACACGGGTGAGCAACTTCACCTCCCAGAAACACAACTCAAATGCTTCTTCAGCGAGTGGTCAGCAATCTCACACCGATGGGGAGGGCGGATATGTGTTTCTCAGTGGCTGAGAAACAAGTTACCTTATGCTTCTGTTAAAAGCAAAAGGCTCAGAGGTATGTGAAATTAAGAGTTCTTATGCTAAAAGGAAAAAAGCTGCAGCAATGCACAGGTGTTTGTGGGCACTAGACTACAGGCAAAAAGACATCTTCTGGTCTGCAGACCACCAGAAAAGGTAGCTGTGATCTGAAACAGCCAATTAGTAAAACAGTGCTTTACTAAGTCTAATTCAAAGATTGGTCTACAAAGCTTTACCTGAAAGGGGGGTGAAAAAGAAAGGAATTAAATAAATCAATATGGTTTTTAAAAGCTACTGCTGTTGGGCAGATACAGAGTGAAGTAGCTCCGGACACAGAGGTGGAGCTGATGAGGATTTACATAACGAGATGGCCACGTTCTGAGCTGTCAGTTCAAATGTTACAGCACATGGGCAATGACTGTCAGTCAGGTCTCCTGCAGCTCCTTAAATCCAGTCCCAAGTGACTTCTGACTCGGTCTGTAACTCTTGGTTCCTTCCGTAAAGAGAGTGAACTACAGGGACACAAGTGACAAACAGACCAACTGCCTGAACTGGCTTCTGGCTGTGTGTGCAACATCACAGGCAACGCAAGGCTAAGAATGCCCACGTAGCCTTCAATCACCTGTTTTCGTGATCTAATGAGAGGGAAAACTCCTGCAAGATGCAGGAAGGGCACGGGAAGTGCTGGATGTCAGCTGTACCACAGCAGCCCTCTCCCCTGCTCCGGCACCTCTGTCATCAGCCCCACAAAAAGAAAGTTCTGGCACTGAGAAACCAAAAACATTTCAAGACTGTTGGAGCTAATGTCCTGAAATGAATTCATGGCTGCTGACAGGATATAAGGAAAAAATGCTCTTCAAAAGGTAACAGAAATAAATCAATGTTGATTGGAAATAATTACTATCTAGTCACCAAAAGGGACTCCCCAACCTAACTCCCAGACTTCTGCGCACAGACACCCTGTGGTATCGGGACAACGGGAGGCTGCGGAAAACCAGCGCGTTTTCTGTTCCAGGAACACAGCACAGCACGGACCCGGGAGCGGGACTAACGACAGCCAGGCTGGAACACTGGATGCTCTGTCGCTTAACTCAAATATTCACAGTGATGCCTCTGCCAGATTTAACGGGTGGAAATGTGAACTTCCCCAGACCACAACAATGCGTGCAAATAAACAGCCAACATTTGATTTAGGTGAAATACAAACTACAATTAGAGTGATGCACTTAAAAAAAAAAAAAATCAAACAGTAAACAGTTGGGTATTCTGTATCTTAAAAGGGTGCTTTTAAAATATTTAACACCTACTCTGAGACTGCTTTTGCTCCCCAGTCAAAGACATTCCCCGCAAGAAGTCCTTTCACCAGAGCAAACTGCCTCTCCTCCCAGCCTAATGAATCCAAAGATTCGATTACGCTTTGAAAACATTTTAAGGCTATGCCATTTTCTTTCTGCTTTACCTGTAAGAAAGACACGAAACATTGGATTTGTAGACAAAAATTTCTTACCCATCCTCGGTTGTCTCAGTCCCAAGACCACGTTCAAGCATTCTCCTCTAGGTTCATGGCCTCTGATGGACCAACAAGTGACTGTTATCAGCATGCTTAGTACCAACAAGAAAAAAAGTTTCCTGGGATTCTAACAGAAAGCTTCATCAGTGATAGGACATGTCTGTAGCCCAAGAATTACTTCCCTTAATAAGTCAGAGGTGCAATAGATCTTGAGTGGACAGGGGAATAAGAGAGTGGACACAAAAATACCCTTTCAGCAGTACCATGATCCACCAAACCCAGGTAATTACCGGGAGAAGATTTGCCACCACCAGTTTTACAAAAACCTGGATTTTTTTTTTTTTTTTAATTTTTGCAACAAGAGTTTCATAATCACAGATGCTTAGGAGCTCTTGGGTTTTTTTTCTCTGCTTCTACGTCCAGTGAGATCAGTGTTACATCGCTAGTTATCTTAAATGGGACCGTGATACTGGGTACCATCTTCACATCAAGAATGTGTGATGGTTTTTTTATTTTCAGGCCTTTTTTTTGGACATGATGAGGTGGGGGAGGATGACCATCTGTTTATGAACACCAGTTCCTTTCCCTTTATCTCCTCTGGTGGGGCAGGGAGAGGAAAGCAAAGGAACCACACTTGAAGGTAGTTAAAGGAACAGAGAGACGTGAGTTCATAGCATTGGTGACTTGCATGGAGCAGCTGAGATTAATTGCTCTGCAAGCCAACAATGCCAAGCGTCCTCTACAACTGTCTGCAATTCACAATTGACTGGGAAGTATTTCTATAGCTACAGATAGTTTTAAATTTGAAAATGGTTTCCACACCATCAAAAGAATTATCAGAATGAGGAGAACAAAACAAAAATTCCTGCAGTCTGCCAGACTGCAGCAGTAGCCTCAGCAAAAGAAACTGCCTGTCCTCCCAAGTGAAGTTCTCGGGCCACCCGTGAGGTGCTCCATCGTCACAAGTGCTGGCTTCTCCACGCAGCCTCCTCCATGCTAAACCGAAGGAAACATCTCCTCACTCAAGGAGCAACTTACACCGGTATCTGCTGGGAGACACCACGCACCCGTCGGGAACAGGACTGACACCATCAACTCACTTCTTGGAAGTATCAGACAAGGGAAGCCGGCAACAGTTTTGGTGAGGTTGATCCTCCCATGCACATGTCAGAGGCTTTTCCAGCCCATTACCTGCTGCCGCTTCTCCTCAGTGACAGCCACAACCCAGTCAAAACCCTGGCAAGGCAGCCAGTCATTAATCTCTTCCCTAGAAGCCATTACTTAGTCAAAGTTGCAGAATATGGAAAAAGTGTCTTGAACTTACATTTTGTCCACCCTGTAAAGCAACAACAACTTACCTTGGAATAGGGATCCGGAAAATTGAACTCGTTTAAACAGTGCTCCCTTGTATCCAAAAGACTTCTAACTGTTAAGGTACCATATGCGCTTTAAAAAGGGAGGAGGGGAAAAAAAGAGATCAGCTACTTTAAAGAGAAAAATTTAGTTTCTCCTGTGCTTTGTCCATAAGTCACAGAACATCACACAAGTGCTTAAAAGTCTTTACGTGCCACATGTGCTAAACAGTGTAAGCAGTAAATCTACTATGTTTATTTAAACGCAGAGAGGGAAAATGTTCTGTGCAAAACTAGATACTTGAATTAACATACTGCCATTTTTACTAACCATGTAGCAATTTTTAATATTATATTTTCTGCAAAGGTATAATTTTTCCGTTAAAGCCCAGTATACGAGATCAAAACGTTCTGTGCAGAGGACTTGATGTCTGGCACATCGACTTGCTACAGCCTTCAGCCTACGTAGCTTTCAGTCTGCTCTGCTTCTGAACCACGTTAGCTTTTTGTTGGCTTTTAGCTCTGCTCAACAGAAGCAGCAAGTGATGAAAAAGGGAAGATAAAGACACTCACAAAGGCTGCTGTCTGAGCGTCTGGAGCTTATTCCAGTATTTCTGTCGGAACTTTTCGGCTCTCTCCAGTGCGTCAGTAGAGTCTGGCTGACTTGCTGCAGCACGCTTTGCCACCTGGTAGATAAATGAGGCAAGATTGAAGTTACCAAATGAATTCTCCCTCCATGTAACTGATCTGAAGTTCAGTCTGAAAAATAACCCCTCCATCTGCTCTGCTGCTCAGTGCCTGCGTACTGTCTAGTCGCTCCCACACAGGACCTTCCAACGTTACTCCAACCACCAAAGAATAATTTCAAATACCTCTCTCCTTCCCCAAAGACTTAAAGTTTATTTTCACTTCAGGACATGGGTTAGTGGTCATGGTGGTGCTGAGCTGACAGTTGGACTTGATGATCTTAGAGGACTTTTCCAACCTTTGTGATTCCGTGAAGACTATACTTTCAGAAATTAAACACAAGTTCTAACTATAGGATTGGAAAAAATAAGAAACACGTGCACACACACTTAAGAAGAAATAGTCAGAAATCAAGCCCTTGTGTTCTTTTTTCCTCACATCAATCCCTTGTGGGTTTTGTGGGTTTTTTTACTACAGTAAGGCCAAGTCAAGGTGTTTTTCCCAGCTCTCTTGCAGCAGCTACATTTTGCAGGGTGAACACGCTGGTCCACAGCAGGTTTATCTGCTCAATACTTGCACCGTTCATACGTACGACTCGTGCCACTTACCCCATCCAGTGCCTCCTCAAAGCAGGTGAGCCAGTATTTTCTGGCCATGGCATCATCTGTGAGGTCAACAGTGTCTGGAATATAAGTCGAGGGGTCTTTCAGCAGCGGCAGGTTAACAAGCGGTCTCTCCAACCTATCCATTTCAAGCATGTCAAACTAGGTGAAAAAAGAAAGATTTATTACAGCTTACTCGGAAATTGATTCATAACAAACTACACTAATACAAGGGCTACAGAAGTCCCTCCACAGTTAAGACTGACAAGTCTGCAGACAACTATAAAAGCGTCTATGTCACCATAAACAATCCACTCCCCTGCATGGATTATTTATTCATGCCCACCCTATAGATAAAGATTATCAAGTTTTGCATTGAAAAATTACTACAGGCCCTCTGATTTGTTAATTTTCCTCTCTTCCTCCCCAGTAGGGTCAAATCTGCTGGGCTATCAGGTTCAAAGACATCAGAATTACTGAATCGTCAGTGTATTTAAGAGGTGACTGGGCTCATGCTCTTCTGCCAATTATATATTTCTTTTTTCACAGGAAGTAAAGAAACGCTGCTTGAAGACAGTGGAACATTCCATTCAAAATTCTGAAGCAGAGTATTTCAGCTGTAGGAAAATCCAGCCACTTCAGGAAAAGGTAAGAGATGAATGTTCTCCCCTCTTGCTGTTTCAGTGAAGGAGAAAAAGACCAAGTGGCAGCCACAATCTATTTTTATGAGACACTCCATCGATCCATCACACAAGACACCAGATAACACCACACGGGACACAAGACACTGTATTAGTCACTTCTTTTTGTAAGCAGGAGTCCAGGGGCAAGAAGCAACTAGCTTGAGAATAACCGTGTATTTTCAAATCCCCATTACTAAGAGAAGGCACTTAGTTGGAGAAAAGACAAGCACATACTGTACCACTCCTTGATCTCTGCATAGGGTAAACGTCAGGTGATGTGCTGCTCATAAGACCAGAACTCCCAGCATAATTCTCTCCCCAGCTATACTGGTTTGGATCTAAAAAAGAGAAAGACAGAGAGACACATCATCTGAAAATAAAACTGAAAATACTCCCAGGAGTGATTCTAGAGTTAGCATCCCTTCAGAGAAGCTGCTTCACTACAAAAGCCACCTTCCCTTGCCTTTTAAGCACACATAATTTTCCTTCTAGCCCCTGAAAGAAATATTGCAACCACTCAGTGAATTACCTGACTCTAAGGAGTTTCAACCTGAACGAGACAAAAGACAATTAAAATTCTAAAGTACTTTTTTCTTACCCCCCTTTCCTTGTCATGAAGGGTTATAACCAGCATGCCTTCGAAGCACTATCACTGATCACAGAGATAATCTCTCATTTCTAAATCCAGACCTATTATTATCAAAATGCAATTACAAAACTATCAAAGCAGATAAACACTGAAGTTGCTTCTAGATTATTTTTTTTTTAATTTGAGAAAAAGTTTGATCAAGTTCAGATGTATAGTACATGCTGCAGAAGCAATATCTTAATTCTTCAGTAGCTGGTTCCTTGCCCGTATCAATAAAATGGGCATGAAAAGAATTCCACATTCATTATCCTGAGATTTATTTGATTGTTACTGAAAGTAAGTACCATTAACGACCTTACTGTCTGTTCCACTATAACTACTATACTGACTGGCTTGCTAGCACGTCAACAAGAACAGAAGAAAATAAAAATGGCAGAATTCAACCAAAGTACTCTATACCCAAAGAATGCGGGACAGAAGTGTCTCATCTTTCAGAAATGTCTGTGAGGCTTTTCGCTCTGAAACGAACACAGTTTTGAGATGCTGATTGTCTTCAGCACGTGAACTGAATTCAGAAGCTGGGGGAAAGTTCTCGGAAACTGCATTTCCCCAATTTGGTTTAGAGCTATGACTGCTCTTTGCAGAAATGCAGAGAAGAGGAGAGCCAAATCCTGCCGGCTTTTCAAATGCGAGCAGGAGGAAAAGTGAGAAATTACGACGTCCCTGCCAGAACACGTAAACCCAAAGCCCAGCATCTGTGCTTGTTAGTGCCAAATGTATTTATTTAGGCAACGACTTACATGCAGCCTCTTAAAGAGAAACTTGGACATTACACTGACATTTCAGAACACAGCATATACAGAACATAGCAGCGCTGTACTTACTGTCTTGTTCAGCTCCTTTTAAAAATGCCCCAATGGCTCCCAGGTAGCCTTCATGTCTCAGGAACAATGCCTGAACCTCTCCCTGCCACAATATGAAACATTGCAATTGGATGGTCCCTGAGGGCTAACAGGTACTTCTTTGTCACTAGTTTTACACTTAAATTCAAGAGAAACAACTAGAAGATGGTAATAGTCATTCGTGCTACATTCTAACACATTCAGCAACTTTAACGATGCTTCTGAATCACAGCTTCAGGAGGAACTGCTTACACACATCATTCCACAATTATTACACAGCTGGGGGGGAAAAAACCCAATATACATGCAGAAGTGGTGTGTATTTTAAGCCTGCACAACCACAGAAACAGAGGGAAGCCAGTGCTGTCACTTAGAAAAAGCTACTGCATCATTCCATGAATATTCAACTCCTCTTGCTTGAACAGGCTGGAAATATAAGGTTGTCTGATTTCTGGGTCATCAACGGCTGCGCATCCAACACTCGTTATCTTTCTTTCGTTACACTGCTATTCCACAGCGCTCTGGATCGTATCTCTAGGCAAGCATGTCCCCATTCAAATTAGTTACATTTAGCTGTCAATGTCGTACAGGGTGCTAGGGTGAACACCACCGTCCACCCCAGCAGCAGGGTCCCTCGGCTTCCCGGGGCAGGGCTGGGTGAGGCGCTGCCTCCTTTGAAGGAAAAGCAGCTCTGTCGGCAGCAGCCCCGGCAGGAGGCTGGAGTAAAAGATCAGCTGCAGCCCTTGGTGAGGTGTGGATGTGAATCCCTGACAAAGCTGCTCTTACAAGAACCTAGAGCTGCAGGTTTGCAATAGTTCTCTTGAAACCTCAATAAAACTGTGGGGAAAGGGACCACAATGGTGAAAAAAAGGCAGCCTATGGGAGTCCCTTGCCCGAAGCACTGAGATGAGGGAAAAAAAATCTACTCTGTAAATTTGCAAAAGCGCAGGAACTGATCAGCTTGTAAAAACCAGTAAGTGAGTTTTCGGATTTCATTTCTTTCTTGTGAAAATTCTTTATTGTTTTCCACAGCTTCAAAACCTGCAAAGAACTACAGCTTGGTTGGTTTTGGAGGTTTTTTTTTGAACAAGGAAC